TGAGCTCCTCCTGGAGTAACCAAAACCGCAACACATAAAACTACAGCTAACAAGACTAATGCTCTTGATGTTTGTTCCATCTCTTAAATTATCTTTCTTCTTTTTCTCTTTAAGACTCTTGGATGGTTTGGAATCACATGATAACAAGGTTAGAATTTATAGAGTGAGAGACATTAGTAACAACAAGTAGACTTAATTGTATTCAGAGACAATTAAGTTGTTCAAAAGTAACTCTTAAATTCTTAACATGTAAATCCATCTATCAAGTTGTTCAGAAGTAACTCATGCTAGTGTTCCAAGAAAATGTAACTCATGCTATGTAATATTGTCAACGCTATTTCAACATATTTTTTAAGAAAATGTTTTGATTATAACCAATTTTCCTTTTGAACGCCACCTAACCCAATTTTTGGAACATTGATTATGTTTGTAAATATTTTAAATTGTTCAGAAGTAACTCATGCTATGTAACATAAAAACCTTCTTTTTTATTGTCAACTTATGTTTTGTGTTGGAACATGTATCTTAATGAAATAGAATAAGTATATAATAATATCATAAGTATGGGATCCAAGTTAGAACAAAAAGCCTTTAGAGGGGTTGGTGTATACTAGCTAGTAGCTACCACTAAAACTATCATTGTTTAGAGTTTAATATGGTGTTGCTTTCACCAAATATTTAAAATGGTAGATGGTATCTGATTTGTTGATGGTAATGTTGCAGAGGTTCGTTGGCTAGGTTTCTTTTAATATATATTTTCCACTAATAATTAATTCATAAACTTGAGCCACAAATTTGAACAGAAATATAATTATCATACGGAATATGATCTTATTTCTTTTACACAACATAACATTTAGAGTTTATTTCGATTAACACATACGAACCACATGCTGTAAAAACTCTTCATCAGCCAGTAATTTCTACAAAACGTGAGACCATAAAGGAAAACTAAAAATATTTTTTTTTACATTCTTTCTTAATAAAAATATGATTAAATAAAAAATCAATTAAATAGTAACAATCAAACATTGATTATAAAATATTATATTTTAATAACAATTGAAAATATATTAATTATATGTTAATTTTTAGAATCGAGTTTTAAAGTTGACTGGGTCATTGATTTTATCGGAATTTTACCAGTTTTTCTAAATCCGAATTTTAAACCAGACTGTACTAACGAGTCACGACGGACCGGATAATTATTAAAGAATAAATCAAAATATTAATTTCTCTTTTATTAAATATTCTTTTGAAAAGATATAATGTTTTTAAGAGTAAATGTTATAAAGTTTAGGATTTTAAATTTTGAAACTACATGATAAAATTAAAAACTTCGTGAAGAATTTAAAATATCAATAAAATATATCAATCCCATTAAATTTAATATTTTAAAATATTAACATTTCCAAAACAAAATTGAAAATAAATGAAAAATCTTTATAATTAAGGTAAAGTAAGAAAAAAATCATAAAAAATAATTAACTTGATATAGAGAAATTGATTAATATACACCAAGTTGGTTACCACTTTTGAAAATACACTCAATAAAAAAAATTAAATATCATCCTGATATAATAATGTTAATGTATGATAAAAATATTTACAAGAATATATTGACATTTTACATGTATCAAACAAATTAAATAACTGATGAACAATTAGTTTAATTAGTATAATTTCATAATTAAACATAAATATTAAAACAGCAAATATTTCAAAAATTGTATAAATCAGTTAAATTTTAGTTAAAAACTATAAAAAATAAACTAAATTATTAATACAAACTAGCATGTATAAATTCAAGTAGTTTTGGTAAGGCATTGGCATCAATATTGGGTTCCGGAAATCCGAACCATAAGGATCACAAAACACCACATGAATGATACCCTTTAACAGAACAGAGAGTAATACAATAGGTTTATAAGAAGTGATGGTGAATTTTCAAACATAGAGCAAATTAAAATTAAAATTAAAGAGATAAACTTACAAGATGTTACACACTTACACTCAGACTTGGTAGCGGATTCTCAGGTACCAAATGATTCTGCACTCTCTCCTTTGGAATGCCAGGTTACTCATGAGGTGCAAGAGGAATACCAAGCTTCAAAGAACAACACTTGTTATTCTACCCCACAGGCTCAAGAAGATAACCATTAGTAAAATTGTATCTACTCCCACTTCAGCTCTTATTATGGAAACATCTCTATCAACCATTATCAACAAGGAGGTCCAACAAACTTCTATTGTTGATCCCTTTAACACATTGGCTCAGGTTAGTGAATTTCAGAATCCTTCTAGATTTGCTGTCCTAGGTGATGTAGACATACCCCCTGATGAACCAATGAGCTCGCTTGGGTTTACAAGGGGTGGGAGGGAGACAAGACCTCCAATCAAGTTCAAAGATCTAGAATGGAAGACAGCACAAGGGAGAGGTAAGCATCGCTTTGAGATGTTATTTATCATGAATTGTATTCATGCAAATTTTTTCTCACTATAAGGTTTTAAACCTTATCATGTAAACGTTTTTATTTATAATTGAAAGCCCTTTTTAAAAAACAAAAAAAAACTTTGCAGGTCATTTTGGGAGTTTTGGAGTTAAAATTATTATTAAATTGAGTATAATTGAGTTAACTATAGAATGTTAAATATAATTGTTTGTTTATAGATAAACAGTTTGGAATGAACTTATATATATATATATATATATATATATATATATATTACAATTTAGTATCAATATTTTATATTTAAAATATAATTAGTATTATTAAAGTTTTGATGGATAATTTATTTCTTTTGTTCAAAAGCATAAAATGGGGTTTGGCCTATTAAGAAATTAAATTTATGATTGTTGGGGTGAACTTTCTTAACTGATAATGGATCGTGTAGTGAATTAAATTAATTTTTAGATACTCCCTTCGTTCTATTTTATTTGTTATTTTAGAGAAAAAAATTTGTTTCAAAATAAGTGTGGTTTTATAATTACAATACATAATTTATTAGTTTTATCTACTTTTCTATTTTTCTATTCGTTAAAATATGGTTAGATGTATAGATAATTGTGTTTTTATGTTGAAAATATGTAATTTCTTAATCTCTGAGCACAAACTTAAAATGACAAATAAAATGAAATGGATAGAGTATATTTTAAGCCCACAAATTAAAAGATTTAATTGTCACTGATAAAAATTACAATTTTCTTTGTATAAATAAGAAAAATTTAGGTAAGATTGTGTTTTTCTTTAAGGCCATAAACATGATTGATCATATCTAATAGTATTGATTAGGCCGGGACGATGACCTATTTCCACACCAAAACTATCATATAGTAATAAATGTACACAATATTTCAACCTCATCGTAATTACACACCATTTAGACATATCAACCTATTTCCACACATGATAAAAATTTGAAACCCGTTTCCACACATACCAAGAATTGGCTTGGTTAAATTGGTTTATGACATGACCCGATAGTAAACCAGTTTGTATCGGTACAACCTGACCCAAACGAAGATCCGATTAAGGATCAAAAAAGTGGGGATTTACGTTTTTAGGGTTTTGAATTTTACTTAAGTTGGGTCTTGGGTATCCAAACGTATTAGGATGGTTCAATCTGGTTTATATTCTCTAATCGGTTCGTAATCATATCATTTTTGGTTTAGTTAAGTTAGTCATTGGTTAAGTTTAGGGTTTAGGAAACACTAACCAATTTTAAACCGCTCTTTGTTGGTATTAGTTCGTCTGTCATAGTTTAGGAGAAACGCGTTGCGAACTTTTATCGTGGGTGGAAATATGTTATTATACTTAAATGGTGTGTAATTACGATGAGGTTGAAAGATTGTGTATATTTATTACTATATGATAGTTCTGGTGTGGAAATATGCCGTCTTCCCGATTAGGCTATAAAGCAAAATGTCAATCAAATTGGTAAGAAACTCACTTTATTAGATATGAAATATGACATAAGTAGACTATTGAAACTTGAGTATCATTTTCTAGGCTACAACAAATGGTTTTCATTAGTGTTTCTGTAAATTTGGAAAAATGTGAACGCAATTATCCTTAATAAGAGGTGGGAAGAACGGGTTCAACGGGAACATATGAGGCCAACAGTTAGCATCAATGGTCGAAAACGCCTTGCAACACGCAATTCCAACATTTCCAAACTTGCCAGAGAAAACAGACTCAAAGAGTTGGAGTACACATCCATTGACGTTAAAGAGAGATGACCAACATTTCTCTAAGTCGATAGGAAAAGTAAGTGGAGGTTTTGGTTGATCGTGAGCTACTCCTGGAGTGACCAAAACCGCAACACATAACACTGTAGCTAACAAGACTAATGCTCTTGATATTTGTTCCATCTCTTAAATTAGTTGTATCTTTCTTATTTTTCTCTTTAAGACTCTTGGATGGTTTGGAATGACAAGATAACAAGGTTATAATTTATATAGTAAGAAACGTGCATTAGTAACAACAAGTAGACGTAATTGTATTCAGAGACAATTAAGTTGTTCAAAAGTAACTCTTAAATTCTTAATATGTTGTTCATAAGTAACTCATGCTAGTGTTCCAAGAAAAAGTAACTTATGCTATGTAATATAATCAAGGCTATTTCAACATATTTTGTAAGAAAATGTTTTGATTATAACCAATTTGCCGTTTGAATGCCACCTAACCCGATTTTTCGGAACATTGATTATGTTTTGTAAATCTTTTAAATTGTTCAGAAGTAACTCATCCTATGCAACATAAACACCTTCTTCTTCTTTTTTTTGTCAACTTATGTTTCTTGTTTTAACCAAGACAGATTATATAGACAACTAAAGGAGAAAGTAGAAACATACTCATAGTCATAAGAAAAAATCGTTTTGCTTATAACTGATTTACCGACTAGACGATGCTTAAATGGCTTTTTTTGGAAAAATTGGTTGGTTAATCCATTCTCTATTAAGTTGTTCAGAAGTAACTTATGCTACATAAAACAAAGGTTTAGATAACAGATCTAGTTTGAGGACCAATAAGACCAAGAACCTCATCCCAGAGAACATGACTTTGGTCACCCAAACCAAGCTCAACAACACTTGAGCTACAAGCAGCTACTGTCCAATGCCCTCTCAAAATATCTGCTTTCAACTGCTCTTTTTCCCAACCACAATACCCATAAAAATATCTTAGCTCACTTCTTCCCACCAACTTCCTCTTCACCATCTCTTCAGCCAACCCTACACTCTCTCTCGTACCATAGTACAGTCCTTCCATCACTTGTCTGAACACTCCACTCTTCTCAACCTCGTTGTCTCCTCCATTCCTTGGACTCACCAGGAACAACCCTTCTTCCAATGGTCCTCCAAAGAAGAGTCTCTTGTCTGAAAACGTTCCCGCCACGGTTGACTTGGTCTCCTTGATTGACATAATCGATGGACGGTTCAGGATGACTCCTATAGGACCTGAGGGTCCAACAGAGAGGATGAGGACCACCGTCTTTTCGAAAATATGGACTCCATCTAGCTTCTCTGTTGCAACAAGGAGACATCCTGTCTCTGGCTCGGTGATCTTGTGTGCCCATTTGTTTCCAAGTGTGTCCGAGTTAGACCAAGAGGAGGAGTCCTTCTCAGAGGTTGCAGCTTGTTCCCCAGCTACGAGCCTTGCCCTGAACACTTTCCAATCAGCATCTGCTGTAGAGTTGTTGACACAATCCTTTAAGAGATCAGTATCATCCTCCAGTGGCTTCCATGAATCCGAGAGAGAACCTACTCAAAAATAAAATACACTCATAAGGTTTGCAACAACTACAATCTTTGATATAAAACTCCCATAGATGAAAATGATCTTACATTTTACAGAGATTGGAGCAGCAACCTTCCTGGTGAGAAACTGGCTAGAGTTTCTCTTGGGGCAAGAAAAGATTCTGGTTTTGGTGAACGGGACAATCTCTTTAACACCAGAGATTGATCTTGAGGTAAGAAAACAAGCATCCATGTTACCCACTTACTCTCTATCTCTGTTTCTGACTCTAATAAATATAAGATAGATGGGTAGATATACTTTAACGTCAAGGTGTAGGTGTATTTAAAGATATGCATGTGCATTTATGCCTTTTGAATATTAGACAAGAGACAAAACTTTTTTGGATGAGGTGTAAACATGATCTGTAAGCCTAGTGGCCATTTCATATTTTGTCTTTACAGTTACTTACAAACTCATATGTCAAAAAACAAAAGGGACGTACAATTACTATAGCCACCAACTAAATAATAAACTCCATCTTCAATCTCTCAGCATCTCTATTTGATTATTCATCCATTCAGGTATTATTACTGGTTTTTATATGTAAATGGTTTATTCATTAAAGGTTGTACAGAAGAAATGAAATACAATAGTCTAATGAGTCTTTTGACCTTGTTTTATGTATGTTCAAAGTCCATTTACAACCACATAAAACTATAGCGGATAAATTTGAAAAAAAATATAATCAAAAGGTGGTCCTCTTTCTCAGCCATTATTTAACTACTATTTTGAGTTGAAATCATTTCAAAGAGGAAAGTAACATCAACTCAAGATCATTTAAACATTTAGTTCTGTGATAAAATAAACCCCACGAGTTTGTACTATTTTGACTAATCTAATCATCAATCTAACAACAACTACTTAGATCGTCCAAAAGTAAATAGTACAAATCACCAGCCTATATACGTCATCGTGCTTACGTCCATTTTACGTGAAAACAGTACAAAAATGGCCATCAGTGGAATTGTCATTATCCTTGTACAATTCAAAGCTCTAAGCAGCACGTAACCATAAGTTTTTTTTTTTTTGACAAAGGGCTTAGTAACCATAAGTTTTGTTATGCCTTTTTTTCAAAAATTAAAAACCATAAGTTTTTTTTAATCTTATTTTCACAAAGCTACAAAGGATCAACTACTTCGTGGCGTCTATATATGTGACATCACTACAAAACTAATCACCAGGTGTCATCAGCCTTTCAAGTTCTACGTATCACCTAACCATAAGTTTTGTTTAACGTTTTCTCATGACGTTATTTCTAGTTCTAGCCATCTCCCTGGTTGATCACAAGAACCTGTTGTTGGACTAATAATCAGAAACTCCATCTCTGGAATAAGTATTCCAAGATCAAATCCATCTCAAGATTAATTAATTATGCTGTATATACTTATTTACATCACTCAAACTCGTTCAGTTTAGTGAATTACTAGGATTAGACCATCTTTGTGTTTCCTTTGGAAAATGAACGACAAATATATGGCCATAAAGACACTGTTATCAATTAATGTACTAAACGAGCGTGACAAGGGTTTTTTGCTCATTATCACTGATCTATATGGAGAATCAGGCTGGTTGTTTTGACCCAAATTCAAAACGGGCTGGACTTTAACTTTCAACTGAGCCCTTTCAGAATCTATTACTTTTAAGAAATGTCAATGTACCAAAATAACATTTATACCACTCCATATAAATTTGTCTAATATACATACAACAATTTGGTTCAAAATTATATAGGTTCTTTACATATTTGTGTGTTTATAATATTTTTTTTTTCACTTATACTATACTTAGTTTCTTAAATTAACTAAACAATAAAATACAAAAAAACTTATTATTGATAAAACTACAACAAAATTTTGAGGGAAATTTTCTTAATAATTTTTTTTGTAACACGGTTCAATCTATGTATTTCTTAAATTTTCGTTTTTTATTTAAACAAAATATTTCTTAACTTTCGTTAAAGTGTGTAAATTTTACAACCGAAAAACCAATCTACTGTTTCGAAGATTTGCTTAATTTTCTGGTTATGGGTTCCTTATCTTCTGGTGAAATTACATTTCAAGTGGTAACTAATGAGCAATGCTCACAAAATAATCCAGCGTTTAACTTGTTAGTGGTCTTCTTGTATTATCATCATAATTATACAGTCACTATCATAGAGTGAACTTAACCAAATCGAGTAACTTCAAAACCTATCAAATTCTTGAAGGCAACATTTATAAGAATCTACAAACTTTTTTGTTTTCTGGAAGAAAGCTACTGGTAGATTCAGATCCTCGACTTGCTATGAAAATCTAGCAAAAAAACAGAAACTTAAGAGACTCATATATACACTACACGATTAAAGACTAGTATTGAAAAAACAAGATCTACTTAAAAACTAAATATTGAAAGAGAGAGAAATGTAGGGCAAGAACAACTCTGCTTCAACAGCCTAAAGATAAGGAAACAGCAAAGCAGAGAGACAAAGGAGCCCCTATTATCTGATATGTGCCTACGCACCACTTAGGGTACGCCACTATAATCCGTCAGAAACCATTCTCGTGGGTATACCACGCCACCCCTCACTAAAGAGGGAAGCGCTCGGCCTCAGGCACTCTCTTTTCATCTTTCTTCTAGGGCTTCCTTCTCCCCCTTTATACACATCCTCCTTTTCTCTTTATTCCAGTTTCTACCCCTATAGTTTCTCTTCTTTCCTTATTGACCCCATGACTTCTTTTTTTTTGAACTACTTCTTTTTCTTCTTAAACATTTTTAAAAGGTTGATTGGAAATGGATGTAAATCTTTTAGAATAGATGGACGGCTGACGAAAAAAATAATTATTTTAGACCAAAAAATTATTCTAAAACATTTTAATAAAATGATAAAAAAGCAAAAAATAAAATATATCACCTATCAAAATCAATTTTCTATTATTTTTATTTATGGGTTAGAAAATAAATCTGCAAAAAAAATATTAAAAACAAAAAAATTCACAGTTTATTTTCTAAAGTAAGAAAAAAATACTAAATGTATACAACCAACCAAGCAATTCCATAGCTATTATTGGATAAGCTAAGAAGTGTAGGAATAATTTAAAAAAAAAAATTTTGAACACACAAGTGTAGGATTAATAAACTTCTTAACTACCTCCTAATCACCCTTTCATCAACAATACTGAAAGTGCCATATTAGATGTAACAACACCATTTATTAGTTGCGGTTTAAAAACTAAAATAAGTGAAAGCTAAAGGATCTGCAAAATGTTCAAACAGAATCATAAGTCACAAAAGGCGTCGTCGTCGCGATAGAGACGAAGAAGAAGAAGAGATGCAAATCCTCTCGTCAAAGTAGATCCGGATCCTACTTCCATCTCCATCTCCCCGACGACGGAATAATCGAACTCCGGTGAGTTTCTCGCCACTCCGATCTCTTCTTCATAGCCGTTTCAGGTTCTAACTCGGTTGATTTGAAATAATCGGTTGTGAATCTCGTTCTAGATCTGCTTTTAGGTAGTCTCAGTGAAGCTTAGTTAGGATCCGTTTTGTTTGTTGTGGATGCGAAGTAGTTATGGTGTGTGATTACTCTGATTTAGGTATGGCGACGAGGAGAAATAATCGGTTGATTTGAAATAATCGGTTGATTTTTCGTCGGAATCTCGTTCTAGATCTGCTTTTAGGTAGTATCAGTTAAGCTTAGTTAGACTTTGATTTGTAATGTTGTGGATGCGAAGTAGTTATGGTTTGTGTGATTACTCTTGATTCAGGAATGGCGACGAGGAGAAATGTACGGTACGCTCAGCTTCCAGGGGACGAAGACGATGAGGATTATGCAAACGGTGGTGGAAGGAGAGATTACGATCCTAGATTTGATTATACACCGAAAGCATTTGATAGAGTTCCGTGGAAATCGATAGCATTAGCTTTGTTTCTTCTCTTCCTTGGTTGTTTGCTTCTTCTTTTGACGGTTTTTATATTTACTGGTCACATGGAAGGAGATAGCTCTCAGGGTTACGCGCTTCTTGTGCTTGGGATCCTTACTTTCCTCCCTGGTAAGACTTAGATTGGATTCTTTAGTCTATTTTAAGTTCCTCATCTCGATTGATACTTCGTGTCAATGATGTTTTGATGAAAAAAGCGCGAAGTTTGTTGTTTGATGTGAGTTGGATCAACATGGCACAGATTGTGTTCGTTCTTTGTCTGTTGATACAATGTTTTCTTTAGCCCTTTATGCTTTTGAGATCCTTTATTTTTCTGGAAAGAGCAGTGAACTTCATGTTGTTGTTTGAGTGCATGATGATGCTTGATTTGAAAATGTGCGTTGTTCGATGTGGAGATTAAGTGAGTTTGATTAGGTAGACACAGCTGAAATTATGCAGTTTGTGCTCTTTGTCTGTTGAAATCATGCAATTTGTGCTCTTTTTATCTGTTGGAATTATGATTTCTTTACCCTTTTATGCTTCTGAGATTCTCTAGTGTTCTGGAAAAAGAGCAGTGAATGTCATGTTCTTGTATGCTTGATTTGAGAAAACCTTGTGGATTCCTTTGTTTTGATGTGGAGATTGAGTGAGTAAGATCAAGTTAGTAGACACAGCTTGTGTTCTTTGTCTCTGCTGAAAATGATTCTTCTCTTTGTTTGTTCTCTTTATTCATGTATGCTATATGATTAAACTGTTGGTGTTGACGTTGATTTTAATGGCCTTGACACTTTTTTCAGGGTTCTATGAGACACGGATTGCTTACTATTCATGGAGAGGAGCTGAAGGGTACCGATTTGCAGCTATTCCCTCTTACTGAATTCCAAGTAGCTGGAGACGTTACACGAATATATATGTGCATAAACTTTTTTTTTCTTTCAGGAGTCTTGTTGGAAAAATGTAATCCAAAAATAATAGACTTTGATGTGTTTCATGAATCACTCCAAAAGGCTTGGATTATAGATAGATACTACATGAATTGATATGTTCTATTGGATCTAACTTGTGAATCTAATTGAACCACGTTTGTTATCAAATTTCGTATCCGTCCGTCGTTAGGTTTTGTCGACAAAGAAGACAAATGAAGTGAACTTCATAACAATGACATGTGATGTGGGGAAGAAAAAGCATCTCTAGCCCCACTAAGTTTGTTTTTTTTTCTTTTGTGCAAATACATAAGTTTGTTTAAAAGAATGAAACTTGGTTTTAGTATTGATAAGTTTCTTTTTTCTCTAGTAAATCAAGAAATTCTTGGCATATGCCATTAACATAAGCATATCTATATAAATAGAAGCATTGTAGTGTTACAAAAACATAAAAGCATTGTAAATAAAAATTAGAAATGTATATTCATAAAAATAGGAAATGTTTTTTGTTGTTGGTCAAAAGAGTGTATTTTAATAGTAACAAACTAAATTAATAACATACATGGCGTAATAGTATTGGAGGGAGGGGGGGGGGATTGATTAAGAATCCATCCTTGATTCCGTTGGTCACTACACTCGTCAAGAGGAGTCAAAAGGAGTGACTCAGCTCTTCGTCACGGAAAGGAAGTTACAGAATCTTAAAGTTCCCAAGATTCTCCGATTACACCGTAACATATTAACTCCCTCATATATCATCTAACCTCCACGAACTCTTCTCTCCATCCATCAAGATTCTCTCTCTCTAGATTTCGTACTTCCCTCTTTCTTTCAACAACCAATTCGAGGATCTGCTCGAAAACAAGCGGTAAATATTTAATTATTTACTCAAATTGATGAGTGTGTTGATGGTTAGATTCTGTTGCAGAGTTTGTTAGACGGTTATGGTTGGTTTAAGATTTTACTAAAAACAATGTTCTTGTTTTAAAACAGATAAGGAAAATGGATGATTCATCAAACAGATTCGGCGTCAACGGAGTGGAATCGATTCTACCAAACTACAAACTCGGTAAAACCCTAGGAATCGGATCTTTCGGCAAAGTCAAAATAGCTGAGCATGTCGTCACTGGTCACAAGGTAGCTATCAAGATCCTCAATCGCCGTAAAATCAAGAACATGGACATGGAAGAGAAAGGTTAACAAATAAACAACACATGCCAACTCTTTTAGCGCCTCTCTCTCTAATTAATTACATTGTTTAATTTTATTCTGTTACAGTGAGGAGGGAGATAAAAATCCTCAGATTGTTTATGCATCATCATATCATTAG